GATTAGCTCCTACTCATTATTCTGTGTTGTGAAGCTGGAAATGCAAATGGTTGGAACTGATTTCTGTACAGGCTTTTTACTTTCTGGACCTGGATTATCCATCTACTGAAAAATGAAAACTGCTGTCAGATCTGGAAGTACAGAAACATTCATGTTTTCTGTTCATAGAAATAATCGTTTTATAAATAAACAAAATTTTATTAAAGCTGACTATTTTCATTTATTTGCAGGATATCTAAGATCAACTTAACTGGAATCTCTGAAGGTTTCTGCTCTCTAACATCATGGCAACACCTGCAGCAGGTTGGTGGAATAATTTAGCCTCCTGCTGCCCTCATGTGGTTGACCTAAATATTTGTAAACATTGCGTTATGAGAAAAAAAGAGAGAGTTGGTGAAATGTGTGTTTACGTCTCTGTGTTTTGCATTAAAGCAATAAAATAACTAACAAAAAGGTTTTAAAGCACCCAGAAAAGCTGTTTTTTAGTTCCTGTTATATGATGCCAGTACATCCCAAAAATGTATTAGCCTTTCTACCTTAATATTTCAATATTAAATACACCAATATGCAATTAAATCTTTAAGAATTACTTACTGAGTTAATTACATTTAACCATCAGATTCTAGTGTTAAAATGAGAAGTAGCCCTCTAGACATTTGAGATTTGGAAATTCCACATAAAATTGTTTATTTAGTTTGTTTATTTTTGAACATCAACTAAATTATTCTAGTCCTAATTTTTCAGATAAAATGTGCAGATTTTAGATGTAGTTTTTTTATGTGGGGCATATAAAAGATGAACATTTGAAATGGAAGCTAAATGAAGAACTCAGCAGGCTGTTCTTATTGTTTGGATTATTAAACATGATGTGTTCAGAGCTGATCTCTTTATTCATTCTAAAATCAGGAAGCTTTTTCAATTCAAATTCCTCCTGGATAGAAAGCAAAACGCCTTCAAACTTGAAAACCAAGTCAAGAGGATTGTTTTTTATTTTTTTGGAATGACTATGACCTGGATGACTGAGAACCTTCACCAGCATATATTCTAAAAGCCTGACCAATCTGGATCTATGGGAGCAGAATAATTGTTACCGACCATTTGCTCTGCATTAATTTACCGGTAACTTAATTCACACCACCTAATATCTCAGCCTATTTGCACATCAGATTCGTCTTAAAAGAAAAGTTATCTTGTGATCAAGGATCAGCACCTCCATAACTAAAGGCTATATGTGCATATATTTTATCTTTTTTATTCTTATTTTTTTAATCTTTAATATATTGTATAGTTGGATGTGTGTATGTATTATATAAAACTGGAGCGTGTAACAAAAGTTATTTCCCTCTGGGATTATTAAAGTATTTCTGATTCAGCTATCCATTGCTTATTTGATTTTACAGTCCTAAATGTCCATCTTGTATATTTGCTCTTTGTCAGGGGCTACAAAGCCAGGGTACTTGTAGTGAAACTGTGTATGGGGTTAACATAAAAAAACTCCATGCACCATGACCCTAAACTGAGTTTCAAGCCCAGAATCTCATTGCTGCAAGGCACCA